AAAAAAAAAAAAAAAAAAAAAAAAAAAAAAAAAAAAAAAAAAAAAAAAAACATGTACAACACAAAAAGCAAAAAAACAACTAAACATATGAGATCGTATCATCCTGAGAGACTGAAATAAAATGGACAAACAAAACACCAGGAACAAGAGAAAGAAGAAAATCAAATAATTCAACTTCAATATTAAACGAGACCATACCAATCGGACAAAGCAAAAACGTATCAAAATTAGAATAAATAAAAAACGTATCAAAACAAGACACAATAAATTAATAAATTAAAAGAACGAAAAAGGAATATGAAAGAGAACAAATAATCATTTAACTAAAAAAGTTCGGTTGAGAATACAAATTAAAGAACTCACACACAAATATGATGGACAAAGCAAAAACTAAATAATATGCACGAAAAGAAAAAAGGAAGAAGAAAAACAAACACTTTAAATTCAATGCTAAATGAGACGATAAAATCACAAGCAAAAAAAATAATAATAAAAACTCTACCTATAAAAGAGTAAACAAACTCGTAACAAAAAAAAATAAAACATAAAAAAAAAATAAAAATCAATAAACCATATCAAATTTATTACTTAACAAGACGCAACATTATAAGAAAACAAAATTCAAAATAACAATTACAAAAATTTAGGATCAAAATATAAATATCAAAATGAAAGAAAAACAATATGAAAGAGAGTAGTGAAATATAAAACCACTCGAATTCTACTAAAATTACATAAGGAACTCAAAGCCAAAAGTCACAATATGCACAAAACAAAACAAAAAAATATATCTTATAGATTAAAGAACAAACATATCTAAAAAGTAGATCACAACCATACAATTTAATCACAAGTATCATGAATAATCAAAATTCAAAAAAACAAACCATCAGAGATGACAGATAAATAAGTTATAAATAAAAGCCACGAGAAGAAAAATAGAATAAACATGAACCGAAAGAAGAAATGAAGAAGAAAATAAAAAACTTCAAATTTAATATTAAACGGAATCTTACCAAATAGAAGAATCATATAGAATCAAACTTCAAACAAGCAATCACAAGGATTTACAATCCATATACAAATATCAAAACAAACCACCGTATCTAACGCAGAAACAAAAGTCATAAGAGTAAAAAACAAACACCATTTCAGACTATATTAAGAGGAAGCATCATAAACAATCAAAATTCAAAAAAACAATATCGATCTAAAATTAAAATACATTAAAAAAAAAACACAATAAATCTATAAACGGAAAGGAAAAAAAATAAATGAACGATGAGGGAAAGTTGCAACCAATTCAACAAACAAAACTCTATTAGGATTATAAATTAAAGAAATTAGAAACAAAAGTCGCAAAAGAAAAAAAATAGTATCAATAAAACCAATAGTATTCACAAGAAGCAAAATTAAAGTAAAAAATCAAACACTTCAAATTCGATATTAAATGAGAACGTACCAAGTAAGAGCACACAAGAAATTAAGATTCAAACAAATAAATATCAAAACAAATTCCAATAAATTTATAAAATAAAAGAAGGAAAAGAAAACATGAACGATATTAGAAAAGACAATACCAACCACGTGTATCACAAGTAATCAAAATTCAAACAAACAATCACAAAAATTTAGAATTAAAATACAAATATAACAAAACACAATAAATTTATGAAAGGAAAGAAAGAAAAATGAATCATGAAATAGACAAGAAATTGAATACTAAATAGTGTTAGAGCTTAAAAGATTTCGCTTTCATTTTCCTGAAACCAAAGTGAAAACTAAATGCTAAAACATAAAAAATAGATATCTGAACTAACTTCAAGTGAAAAGCATCCTACCATCTCCAAACACATATAAGTGGAAAAACACATAAGAAGAAGATTGAACAATATTAATCCAACATTACTAAAAAAAAAAAAAAATCAAATTTTAATAATTAAATAAAAAACTTACTTTTTTTTGAAAGATTAGTGCATGACAAAGATCATAAACTTATCATCTTTCAGTATTGTAGAAACAAGAAGTGAATCTTAAGGGAAGATATTGTTCTATCTATAAACCACAAAGAGGATTAATAATTTAATTTACATTTAAAAATACGGACAAAAATTTAAATGTATCACAGAAAAAGTGAAGGAATGTACCAAAGAAAACTACGATTGAGCAAACAAACCTTGAAGTATTACTTGAGCAAGGTTGAAGTATCAAATCTGGGCTCTTCAAGAATCTGACTCAAATAGAATAGAAAAACAATAAAAAAAAAATGTTAATATCACCAAACCGATATTGAGTGATGAGTTGTGGTGGTGCATATACAGTGGATATAGCCTGCATTTAGAACACTTATATTAACATAGTATTGAGAAACTAACATTATCAATTAAAAGGACTAAGATATTTATAGCATACTATACTATTTAATTATTAAAGAATACCATTTTTTTAAAAAAAGTAGCAGTAGAGAAATTTTCTAGTATGTAGAAAAGATTTTAAGTAAGCTTCGAAACATAATCTACACGAATTTCAATAGTGTGTAAAATTGGCACTCTCAGATAATATAGATGGTCCATCTTTAAAGAGAGAAAATTCTCAAAGAACTTGAACCACAACCTCAATTAGAACTTCTTGCGACGGTTGTGACTCCGTAAATCCTTCTTTAAAGCAAGAGAGCAACAAATTCGAGCTAAAAACATGACATGAACAAATAAGGTTATATATAGCAAACAAAACATCAATACAATAAAAGACATCCTATCACCATCCTATTTACAAAATTATACAAAACTGTAACACAAAACTGTAACAATTCTTCTACTATTCTTATAAGGCCCTTCAAAAAAACTAAATGTTAGATTGTTTTCTTGATCATCATAAAAAACAAAAGATCAAAAGAATTACTGTCAATAACTAAACAAACAAAAATAATTTACAAAATATTTATAGAGCAAAAAAAGAAATTGAGAAACAAAAGAGAGAGGAGATAACATCTTGACCATTGTAATCTTATAAACTAAAGAATTCATAAACAAAAGTCACAAGCAGAAGATATTAAAATAAATGGTACCACAATATTAAAATATTAAAATAAAAACAATAAATTTATAAATTTAAAGAAAAAATATTAAAATATTAAAAAATAAAAACAAACAGCAAAGATTTAGAATTAATGTATAAATATTAAAATAAACCACAATAAATTTATAAATTTAAAGAAAAAATAAAGTATTAAATAATAACAAACAATTGAATCAATGAAACTTTACTAAAATTATAGATTAAATAACTAATAGCAAAAGTTACGAGCACACAAAGAAAAAACAAACATTTCAAATTTAATAATACTAAATAAAATTCTATTGAGCAAAAGTTTCAATACTCAATCAAAATTCAAACAAACCATATTAAATATTTAAAATCAAAATATAAAAATAGTAATAATTAAAAAAAAAAAAACATCATAAGAAATCAAAATGCAAACAAACAAATAGTTACTCAGTAATCAAAATACAAACAAAATAATTCAATGAAACTCCACAAAAATTATAAATTAAAGAATTTATAGCAAAAGTCACAAAAGCACGAAAAAAAAAAAGTAAACAATACTTCAAAGTCAATACTAAATAAAATTGTACCGAAGAGAAGCATCAAAGAATCAAAATTCAAACGAACAATGTAAAAAAAAAAAAAAAAAAAAAAAAAAAAAAAAAAAAAAAAAAAAAAAAAAAAAAAAAACTACAAACATCACAAATAATCAAAACACAAACAATTCTCAAACAAAAATATCACAAGTAATCAAATACAAACAAACCATCAAAATTCAAACAAAAATGTTAAACAATCAAAATTAAAACAAACAGTGTCAAACATTTAAAATCAAAACCTACAAAAAGAAACAACAATCATCACAGGTAATCAAAATACAAACAATTATCTAGCAAAAACATCACAAGGAATCAAAACACAAACAAACAATTCCAACAATTCAAATATTTTACCAACGATAATAAATTTATAAAATTAAATAATAAAAAAAGAGGTATTAAATAAAGTAAAAAACCATTAAAAAAAAATCACACACGTTACAAATTAAAGAATTCAATAGTAAAAGTCACTCGAGCATAAAAAACAAAAAGCAAACAACACTTCAAATTCAATACTAAACAATACTCCGAGCAAAAGCATCACAAATAAATAAAATTTAAACAAACAATGTCAAACATTTAAAATCAAAATATAAAAAAGAAACCACAAATATCACTAGATATTAAAATACAAAGAAACAATCACCAAACTAAAACATCACAAGTAATCAATTTTAGACAAATTATGAAAAAAATATGTTTCACCTAGCAAATTAGATAAATTTTTCAATGCAATTGTAAATGAAATCAATTTACAACAAAGTGTATGAGACAATATTATCCACGTCTAGCCAATTAATATTTTATGAAATTGTTTATGCATACTTCTCTTTCAATGCCATTTAGTCTTTCAATCTTCACTCCCACGTATATATATTGCTTGAGTTAAAACAAAAATATTCCAATTCACAATAATCATGTACCTAGTTTAAGAAAAATGGCAAAAAAATAAGGGAATTTGATGGAAATTAAAAATATCACGAAATAGATGAACTTCTACAATTTTCTCATTCATTATACCAGAAGAAAAATACCCCAAAAAAATCAGCAAAATAAAACAAGGGAGCATCAATCGGAAGAAGCATTGAAAAGACGTACCAATAATTCAATTCAATGTCGAGCAGTTTCCAGAAATTGATGTCCAAAATTTAAGCAGCCCAAGCAGAATCGAAAGCAATAGGAATTAAAATCTGAGGAACAAGAAATTCACATGATCTCCCCTGTCATAAATAGCAAAAGTATTCAACTGTATATTCACATCATCTTCCTCATCACAAGCAAGAATGAAAATCTTGATGAAAACTTAAAAGCCGGGCAAAAGGATTTCACCTCATTTTCAACATGATGATATGTTGGTTCAGCATTCCCCCCTTTCCCCTGTTTCGGACCAAACCCTCCTGATAAGGCCAACTGTCTAAGTATCTCAGGCCATGTTAAAGGATTTAATTGTTGCTGTCAGCTGCATATGTCAAAACCCGATGCATATGCCTGATAAAGAGTGACAACAACACAACTTGATGGTGAATAAAGAACCAAATTAGAAACATGGATAAACTTTAAGAGCAGTAATAACCACCAATGAGCCTCACCCCTTCAATTATTCGCAGATGGCCAATAATTCTCCGTGCCTGTAAAGGAGGTTATGTTCTAGAACAACAACGTGTACTTCACCTTACCTCAGAACTTCCATAACGACCATAAAAAATGAAGTATTGGCTGAGCATTGCAATAATTCTCCGTGCCTGCAATGCAATACCAGTTTTAGCTTTAAAATACCTTGAAAAATTACACGGTGTTCGGCCATTACAAATGTTCATCATGGTAGCTCTACCTTACCATACATCTCTCCGAACTTTTCTGCACGTTCAATCAGGTGAGACTTAGCAGACTTGAAATCCTCATTTTCTAAAGCCGATGTTCTAGTTAAATACCGAATGAACAAATCACAGCCAACAGTGAATGATATTGGAATTGTATCCCATGACTGAGGAAATAAACAGACAGATGAAATGAATTAGAAGTTATTCATTACCTGTCTGAAAGCATGCAAAGATCATCCATTCTTTGTATGAACTATTTTCTATATTAAAAAAAAAATTGTACACCACCTCGATTTCGTACATAATTCATTTCCTAAAAAATGCATCCATCTTCTACTTATAGTTCAAGTAGCCTCAGGTCGTGCACCCACTTAGACACAACTTCCAGACCGAGGCATATAAGATGATCCAAACGAATAACAAGAACATCAAGAGTAAAACGCAAAGCGGATACCGAGCACATCAAGTGAAACATTGTAGGGGCAATAAATGATGAGTATCACAAGTCAAAAGTCAGGTTACAGATAAAGAAAATTTTAAGACAAGAACTTACGTGATCGTGAAAAGCTTGAAGAAACTCATCAAGAGTAAAAGGTCAAAGGCCAAGAACTACCACGCCTAGAAATACACATAGCAGTTCAACATTCATATCATAGATAATTTCCTACACTGAACAGTTTCTTCATGTCGTTCAGAATCTTCATGTCAATTTTCTAAAGTAAGTGAACTTCAAAATAGAAAACAAAATAATTTAAAAAAAGGTACAGTAACTTAATTTCCACTCTCAATCGATGCTAAAAGAATTAAAACAAATAGAACACCTAAATTAATTTCCTCTCTCAATCGATGCTAAAAGAATTAAAACAAATAGAACACATAAATTAAAGTCCACAAGTAATCACGTGTGAATAGGTAAACAGGTTATTCTAGGTCACTTCGTGCAAGGGAAGAACATTCTTGATACTCAACGAATTTAAACAAAAAGGAAGTTGATAGAAACATGAACCTTCTAAATAACTCCAGATTTTGTGAAGTTTCGTGATCAAGAGACTTTGTTGACGGTAATCCCTTGCTGGACAGAGCGAACTCCATGAGTTCCAGGCGTTCATCCTCCTCAGAAAGTTCCGTTGATTCCTTAGCCATTTGGCGAGCAATGGCCCTCTGATTGCAGTTTTAAGTCTTGCTGCTTCTCTTTCCCTGCGCAGTGCTAGACTATATCAGTTTATGTAAGAAGGAGAAGAGGAAGATCAAACGGAGGAGAAGAAGGCTAATGTGACCGTTGCGGAAATCGCAGACGCTCCTCGTTCTTCTCTGCTTCTTTCAATTCGAACGCCGGAAGAATGGCTAATTTATAGACGTAATTTGTGTTTTTTTTTTCTTTTATTTAATTCTTTAATTTTCATTCTTTTTATTTAATCAAAATTCAAATTGCAAAACCCTATATCATATTTGGAAAATATATTTTAATAATTAATTATAAAATATATCTTAAATATCTATATTTATCTGTAATTAATTAATATTTTTTATTTATTTTTTGAATGGTTAATAATATATTTTATCTTATTTACAAGATTTAGTTAACTATATATTTTCTTTTAAATTTAAAGTATTAATTAATAATTTGTATTCTATTTCATCATATTTCCATACCAATTTTATTTTTATTTCTCTTTTCTTATCCAAACGCTATGGATTTTAAAAATAACTTAAAACTTTTAATATTATTTAAAAATATTAACTTTAAAAAACTTTCATTCTTTATAATATATATATATATATATTTCTCGAATGTTTAAAAAATATTCATTTAAATAACACCATTTACCTTTAAAAAAAGTTCTATTATTTTATTGATTATCTACAAATATTTTTATATTATTTTAAAAAATTCATAAGTATTTTTTAATGGCTAAAAGGTTTAACTGTAAATTTTAAATTTAATTTAATTTATTTTTAAGATAAAGTGTAAGTTTTTATTATTATTATTATTATTATTATTAGTTTAGTAAGAAAAATAAATAAAATCCAGACACCGCGGTTTCTTGATCGTCCGGGCATTAACGCGATGTATGCAACTTCCCTGAGTTCTTCAATGCTAATCTCTAACTAACTCTAGCTTCTGCTTCTAGCGGGGAAAACGTAGCACAATTCGTATCCACTGATCAAAACCCATTTCTTAAATCCCACTATTTCCTCGAGTCTCAATCTATAATTCTCCAAATCCGCAACCAAAATCGATAAAAGTTCATGTCAACGCCGGGCAGTTCGTTTGATCTTTGAATTCAGAGTAAATTGCTTACAGAATTCGATTGAAGCAAAGCTATGCTTGCCAGAAGGCGTTTAGCGGAGCTCATAATCGGTTTCAATTCGGAAACTAGGAGAAGAAGAAGCCGATTGTTGTCGAGCAATTCTGGGAAGAGATTTGCAGCGGTTTGGGGAAATGGGGATTTCGGGAGGCTGGGGCTTGGAAATTTGGATTCTCAGTGGAGGCCTGTTGCGTGTTCTTCCTTTGATCGCGAAATGCTCAAGGATATTGCATGTGGTGGTGCTCACACTCTGTTCTTAACAGGTCTTAAACTTCTCTTCTTTCGAATTTGCAGCCTATATGAGATTGTTTATGGGATTTGTAGTGCTATGTATCTGTATCTATTTGAGGGACATTGTGTTACGTTTCGAGTCCCGCAGATGTTGAGAGCAATCTCCTATGTTTTGTTGGTGAAAATTGTGAAGATGTCAGCTGTGTTCGAGTAAAAGCTCACAAATTATCCCCCTACTTTGGCAGAATCTGGACGTGTCTATGCTACTGGTCTTAATAATTTTGGGCAGCTGGGAATCCTCGAGGAACAAGGCTATTGTACAGTATGTTTTCTCCCACTCGATCACCATTATCTATGTGTGATAGTTTTTAGTATCGATATTCTGCGCCTGAAGTAATGGTTGATCCTTAAGTTTTTGTTTTAGCTTTATCTCGTTGAACACAACTCTTTGTGAAAAATACTCGCACTCTTTATTAACACCAATCGGGAAGAGATTACAAGACACTCTATGTTTTTGATCTCTTGGGATGAAAACCTTGGTAGGTTGGAGGGGTATTTATAGTAGAGGCTCAACAATTTATTCCTAAAGTACCTTAATTCTTTTCCTAAAATAAGTAGGTATCTTTATTTCTAAAATACCTAAATCATTTTCGTAAAATACATAGACAATGAATTCATACAATTATTGGGCTAATGATGATATTTTAACATATCTTTCCATCTTTCTTAATGTGGTCTCATGTTTTTGGGTTTTTCTTGTATTTTTAAAATTTTTCTTTTTGTAAAGACACGTTAATTATCACTTATCAGCATGGCGTCTCGGTGCAGGAGCCTGTTGAAGTTAGAATTCAGAAAGAAGCTGTTCATATCGCAGCTGGTTATAATCACTCTTGTGTTGTTACAGGTTTGCTCTACATTCCACTTGATTCAAGCGAAGACTAGCCTTGAACTATTAAACTTCATTCAGAAGTAATTTGTGATGGTTTGCTAAGGACCATAGTTAGCAACTTGTTGAAGATAGGACACAGATGAATTTGCTTTATTGAATGGCAAGAGTTGTCATAGTTAGCTTTTTGTTGGATAGGGCTCAAAAGATAGGACACAAATGAATTAAGTTTTGGTCCTAATATAATCTCAATTGGTTATTAGATGTAATTGGCTGATTATTTTTTATATCACAATACAAAATATCATATCCTGCACATTTCATTAAGTTCATATTGCATCCGTTCCACTAGCATAGTTACATCTTATGGCTCAATTCTTCTAGGGCTATTTTGAGGAAAGTCAACTCTATAGGAACAGAAGCATTTTGGAAGAGGTTGATAGATAGATGTTCTGGAAATATTTTGGACATTGTGGGTTTTGTCTCCCTGTGGTCTTTTTTCAATAAGGACTTTTGAAACTATAACTTTTCCACCATTTATCTAAACCGAAGCGATATTTTTGTATTCCTATGGTATATATTTTAAATTGTGTCTTTTGTATATTTCTTTGGAAGTTCAAATGTCATACCAAATTTAAAGAATTATTGTTACATTAAGTTCTTCAAAACGTTCTTTGATATCCTTCGGATAAAAGCATCTAGGTAAAGTATTGTTATACAGCATGCACTAAAAATCAACTGTCATCGCTGGGATCTCTCTGGGCAATAATCTTATGAGAGCAACTCGTTCTTCATATAATTTAAATACTTCTGGAAATTGCGAATGCTATTAATTAACTTTCTGATGTATTACTCAAAAAGGAATTATACAATAACTTTTCTACTCTAGCTTGATTTGTTGACTTTATATTTTAATTCTTTATAGCTGATGGAGAACTGTATATGTGGGGGATGAATTCAAGTGGGCAGCTTGGTCTTGGAAAGAGTAAGCACTAGATTCTGAAAATATTTTTCTTACATCGTATAGTTTTGCTAATCTAGTGACTCATATCCAAATTAACGCTTTTGTAGGACTGGTTGTTAGACAATGGGCAATGAAAGAATGAAATAGCCTAATCTTCTTAGTTTTTCTTTTTCGTTAATGGGTTAGGGTGGGGTTGTGAATTTATTCGGTACAACGTGGTTGTTCCCTTTGTAAGTCATAATGTTATTTGTTTTTAGTAGATAATCATGAATATTAGTTTTCCATCTATAACCAGTCGATAATTATGTTATCATTGTTTTGCAATTCTATTTATTTGTTGTGGTTGTCCCCCTTGAGGTGGACCTTGTATTTCTTTCCTTGTTTGAAAGAGAAGATAGTGATAGACCCCTATTACGAAGGTTTATTGTCGTTATGTGTTGGTAAGTTCGAAAACAAAGCATGTTGACTAGGAGATATTTTAGAACTCAAGGAACCTAATTACTTGGTAACTTCTAAAACAAAGCATATTGACTTGGAGAAGGTCAATGAATAATTCATTAAGGAAATGACTGATGCGGGTGTAATATGTATTATTTATCTTTTGACAATAGATTAAAATGCCCATTGCTTAACTATAATACTTTCGAAAGGGTTATTTGACAAATTGGTTGATCAAAGGACAGTTCAATCAATCGATCAGGTTAACTATGGAAACATCTTTTACCAACTTGAGAGGGTTGTCAGGTGTTGGACTTTTTCCATTTTTTAGTAATCACTAATTACGATTATTAGCTATCTATATTTATGTCTCTATGGTTATGCTACCACGATGCGCTAGTAATTTTCTTTCCTAATTTTTAGTTAGTCTTTCATGACAGGAATAGATAAAATACTAATTTTCTCCCTCTCAAACTCGGTTGTACTGTCATACAGGGTCAGCAAAATCCGTATGCCTACCTACGAAAGTAAATAGCTTAGATGGGATTGTGATTAGGAGAGCTGCTTTAGGTTCAGACCACTCGATGGCTGTTACTGGTATAAATATCCTACCACATTTCAGTTTAGTAGTTTTACCGTTTTCATGGCGTTTCAGTGAATTTGTGATATTATATTTTTCTCGATGTTTATATTTTTCTTTTCACCAGATGGAGGTGAAGTCTTAAGTTGGGGAGATGGACGATCAGGAAGATTGGGTCATGGCCACGAGTCATCATTATTGGGGTTTTTAAAAAGCACCAGGTACTGTTAGATTCATACTGATCTGTGATCCCTTCTTCCTTTCTCATTTCCCCCACAGAAAAATAAAAGAAGAATAAATTGGCATTTGACCAAACATTTTTTGAGCATATAGGTGTATAAACTTATTGACTTTGAATTTCTCATCTAGATTCATGATGCATCATAGCATTCTTTGTTTCTTGTGTTCTTATGACATGTATATTTTTTTTGTAGCGAATATACGCCCAGGCTAATTAAAGAACTTGAGGGGATTAAGGTAATCTTTCCATAGTGAGCTTTCATTCATCACCTTTAGGTTGCCAATTTTTTTAAAAACTTTTTTTTTTTCAGGTTAAACGGATTGCTGCAGGGATGCTGCACTCAGCATGTGTAGATGGTTGTTTTTTTTTTCCCTAAATTCTTTTATGGAAAATGTCTGTTTCATTGTTGCTTCTTTTGGCACATTGTTTTGCTAATGTTTAACAAATTTTGCAGAAAATGGAGCTGTTTTCATATTTGGTGAGAGAGCAACAAACAGATTGGCAAGTTCCAATTTAATGTTGAAATTGATTTTATGTTTGTCTAGTAAAGCTACATTTTGCTTGATGTTCTTGCATTTAAATTATTAATGGTATGATACAGAGCTTTGGTGAGGCGAACAAGGCAACAACACCATCAATGATCAGCACACTTTTGGACTGCGAAGAAGTTTCCTGTGGTGGTTATCACACGTGTGTCCTAACAAGTAACTTTATCCTTTTTTATTATTTCGAGAGTTGTAATCATTCTTTCCATTGATGTGTAACTTCAGATTTTTTCTTTTATCTGAGCAAATTATATATTAAAATTATTCTTAGCCAGTAAGCAATTATATATAAAGGTTGTCATAAATGAGTTAATATAGTTTGTCTGATATCTTTGCCATATTTTTCTATGGTTTCATTATGACAACAATAGAGTGAATTAGCCGGTGTTCTTAGTATGTACATGTTATGTGACAGCCATGTGCATACAGATCGATCTAATTTTCACAATGGGGTGCTCATCCTCGGTTTTAATGATGGATGACTATATGATTTCTAAGTCGAGATATGTTGTTTATTTATTCATCAGAAAAGTTGCTTGAGATTCTTAACATGGCCTCATCTTTGACCTTTTTGTTTCTTGTTGTAGAAGGTGGGGACCTGTACAGTTGGGGTTCGAATGAGAATGGCTGTCTGGGGAATGGGTATGCCTCGCTGCAATAATATTCTGTAGTTTGGACCTCTTTTCTAATTTTGAAGGCTCGCCGACTAAAATATTGTGTTCGTGATATCTGGTTATTCAGGTCCACGAGTGTCTTTCATCTCCCCGAAAAAGTCGAAGGTCCCTTTTCAAAATCTCCCGTAAGCAAGGTTGGAGTTTTATGGTCTTCCATCAGAATTACTTGAATGATTTTAGGGTTTGTTTTCCTGGTGGAGACAACTTTAATTTTATCTAGTTTGAAAACTACCTCGTAAGCTTTCTACGTATATTTTTTATTGTCTGAAAAGGGCAAAATAAAGAGAAAATTTTCACACGTGTGCTAAGGACAAAATGCGAAAGAAAATGAATGATAATATTCTGACTTGTTTGATATTCTTTATATTCATCCTGTTCAATATATTTAACAATCATGTTTCACAGGTATCTTGTGGATGGAAACATACAGCAGCAATCTCAGGTAATAATTCTCAAATGAAAATGAAGATATGAGTTTAAACTTCAAGTGTATTATTGCTTGAATCCTTTCATATTAGGTGTTCTTTGCAGACTTTTTTTGTTCTTATAAGAAGAAAAAGGATTAAAAAAATGAAATAGTCATGACTGGAACAAGACAAGACTCAAATTTACAAAAACCATAGACATATTACCAATTAGTGTTGTGTAAAAGATTGTTACAAGAACTCCACTGCTATTTCACCTTTTTTTTTGGCAATTTGGATATTGAAGAGCCTTGCTCCTTGTATTTTGTTCGTGGTCCACTGCACATGAATTCAAACTTTGAAAGACTACTTGGGTCTTAGTTTTAAGTTATTAAGTTTATAACTTGGAAATATTGGACTTCGGACCTTGTCTTGGATCTTAATCCAAAGGAAACATTATTATCTTCTTCAACTGAATTGAATCTTTGTGCTTAAATCTCTGGGTTTCAAATTAATCTGTCACAGATTGCTTGTAGAGTTTTAGGCAGAAATTTGTTAACCCACAACCAGTGTGAATGTTTTTGTTTCACCTTTGTGATTCCTACGCGTTCTGGTCGTTTGAGTAAAAATAACTGAATAAAGAAGAAAGAAATGGAAAGAAGTGGCAGAAGTCAATTAACAAAGGTCAAGTAAAATATTTCAGCGGTCACCAAAGAAAACTGTTTTGTATTTTTCTTGCAATATTAAAGGTAAAATTTGGTAAGTTTGTTGTTGAATCAGGTGGTGCCATTTTCACGTGGGGCTGGGGAGGTTCCCACGGAACGTTTTCGGTGGATGGCCATTCGTCTGGGGGTCAGCTGGTATGCTTCTCTTGCATTTATTTTCTTGTTATCTTTCTGCTCAATTGGATTTACTGCTGGATTTGTTTAGAGTTGGTCGACATTTAATGTGCATGCTTGAAATCTACGGTTTTGTTCGACAATTTATTGCCGTTGGAGATGGTTTCATTTGAAAATACTAATAACAGGCACATGGTTCAGTGGCATTGGATCTCTGCCCTGAACGTACTTATTCTTTATATGATCAAACGATCACTTCTCTCATTGATTAGTTCAAGTACAAAAAATTCTTTACTCGAGGTCTCGAGTTTTAGTAGCGAAGAATTTTAACTGCGTTCTTATACCTCGAGTCCATGTTATATGTTTCAATCTTTGTGTAAATGTCCATTTGATAGCTATTTTTGTCTTCATTTTTCAGTTGGTATAGAATAGAATTGTGTAGCTCTCCTTTCGTTCTTTATTTGGGTGTTTTTCTTGTTAAGAAAAGGAACTATTTGCTTTTTTATATCGAATTCTGTGACACCACCCAAGCCTACCGCTAGCAGATATTGTCCTCTTTGGATTTTTCCTTTCGGGTTTCCCCTCAAGGTTTTAAAATGCATCTACTAGAGAGAAGTATCCACACCCTTAGATTTCACAATCTACCCCCCTTCGGGGCCCAGCATCTTCGCTGGCACTCGTTCCCTTGTCCAATTGATGTAGGACACCCCAATCCACCCCCCTTCAAGGCCCAGCGTCTTTGCTGGCACACCGCCTTGTGTCCACCTCCCTTCAGAGCTCAGCCTCCTCGTTGGCATATTGCTTGGTGTCTAGCTCTGATACCATTTGTAACAGTCCAAACCCACGGCTAGTAAATATTGTCTTCTTTGGATTTTTCCTCAAAGTTTTTAAAACGCGTCTGTTGGAGAGAGGTTTCCACACCCTTATAAAGAATGTTTTGTTCTCCTCCTCAATCGATATGGTGATATGAACCAAAATGGTTCATATCATATGGGGTCTCACAAATTCTAAATTCAAGATTTCAGCCACCTTCAATATTTGGTCCGATACAACATTTAGGACAATCTTGAATGCTTTATACCCATAAAGGATCTGGTTTAATTGTAGGGACATGGAAGCGACGTTGACTATGTGAAACCGACAATGATCGACCTCGGAGAGAATGTGAAGGCAGTGCAAGTCTCCTGTGGGTTCAACCACACTGGTGCGATACTCGAGTACATGTGAGTTTCAAACTTTGACCACACCATTACAATAGTAAAGAGGCTGTGTTCATAATTTTCGAGTCGAAATTATATTATGTTTGTTCATGTATAAATACATCATTTCCTCTTAAGGCAAATAAAATTGTAAACTCTGTATATGTCATGCTTCTGGTTTCAGAGAAATAATCATAAACATGGGAGAATGATACCCAAATCTTAGGATATTTATTCAAACATTCAATTGCAGCTCAAGTTCATAATGTTTGTCACATATTCTCTCATTTACTTGACATTTAAGCATTATGTTCTATTTATTTTCTGAGTTTGATATGAAGATTCATTTTTATTCTTCTTATTGTGACATATATTTCGATTACTCTATAATAGAGCGTTTTGTAGTTCCAATATCCTATCTATATCACCCTCTTTTCGAGAAGCTCTAAGACAAAGCTCGAGAAATCTATGGCTACCAAACCAATGGCCCGCTTTCGCTCCCTTGCTCGGTCGATGACTTTCTCTAGCTCAAGTGGCAGCTCGAGAAAGAATCTGATGAACACAACCACAAACAGAATAATCATCATCACCACCACGACCACTGCCATCTTCCACTTGCTTTGTCTTAGACACTTTTTGTCTTCAAGATTTGTCATAACTTGATGAAAAGATAATATAGTTGTTAATATGTTAATAGATATTATTGATCCAGGTCACTGTTGCTTAGTTTGTCATTGTTCTTCATCCTTGATGAAAGACATCGTAAGCTAAGTAATCAGTGGGTTTGGTGTTGATACAAAACTTCTCGTTCTCTCTAAACTCTCTTAATAATGTTAATTGTCACGTCATTTTTTGACTAAGCTAACAAATGATTAACTCAACTCACAGACCGAGCTAAAGAACTTGAGCTTGTTGATTTGAAATTCAAATATACCTAAAAGGGTTTGTCAAAAAAGGTTCGGTTAGTAGTATTTTTACTTAAAAGGGTTTAAAAGGTTCGATCTCAAATAGCTCGAGACATTTTTATTTATTAAAAAATAACATTTTAATATTACTTAGAACGTTATGATTCATTTATCTCTAAAGGGAAAGCTAAAAGTGTAAGGGTAAATAGGGTTATTCATAGGCATTTGACCTTATCACCTTTTATATTAAGATTACGTTTTCTTATTTAGTCTATAACTCCTAATTCAAAATGACACCTAAAAAAAAATTGTTCTAAAATAAGTAAAGGAGTTTAAATTCATAAAAATAAAAATACACTTAATAATTTATCTAAAAAAATATTTGTTACATTAATATATATTTTAACTTTTAAAAATGTCTAAAAATACTCTTTATGCCCGTCTTGATAAAAATCTTTAATACTTCATTTCAAAAACATCCTTGAACTTTTAATAGTATTTCAAAAACACTTTATACTTCAAATTTTTTTATTAATACCTTCAACGTGTTAAAAAAGTTAAAAGATACTCTTCTGATAGTACAATGTTTAAAAAATATCCATGAAATTTAAAAAGTAGCATTAACTCCATTTACATTTATAAGGTGTTCACAAAAATTCTTACGGTTAATATACGGACTAAAGTTTTCTATTGACCTTTCATAAATTATCTCCAAACTTTTTTATATTACTTTTAAAAGTTCATAAGTATTTTTGAACGGTAAAAGTAATTTTTTTTTTTTTTTTTTTATAAAAAGTTGATGTTTTTTAAGCTTTTAAAAAAATTTATAATATTTTTGAAGTTTTTTTTTAAAAAGTTTAAGGGTGTTATTGTTGTATATATTTTTTAAAGTAAAAAAACATTTTAAAAATGAAGTTGAAGGTATTATTAAAACAATTTTAAAATATATTGAGATTTTAGAAAGAAATTTAAATTACAGATTTAATATGAAAATGTTTAATTTATGTTTATTTGGTCTTTATAATAAAAAAAACGTACACTAAGTTATTAATTTATAAATTTATTTCTAATATATCCATAAATTTAAAAAATGTTTAAAATTTTGTAGACATCCTACATGATGTTCTGTTAAAATTATATTAGGGGTATATTTGGAATTTTAAATTTGTAAAAGGATAAATAAATCGTTAAAATTCTTCTGTTAATAAAGAAAAAATGTTGAATTTATTTCCAAAGGAATAAAAAATATATATTCAATCTTATATTTCCCTCGTACCTTTGATCAATTAAATTTTTTTAATTTAAAATGCATTATTGTCAGAGTATTTTTTAGTGAAACATTATTATTCATTAATTTTGTGATATTATATTAAAAAATAGCTTATACTATAGAGAGATTTTCGCACCCTTATAAAAAAATGTTTTGTTTCTCTTGGAATCTCATAATTCACTGCATGCGATTCTAGGGTCAGACATATCACCCGTGTCTAACATTGATTCCATTTATTGAATATCGATCTCCAAAATTTTTAATTTTATTGATTTCAACTTGATTCTCTAATAATTATAAGCATGTTTTTCTAAAATTCAGGGCGTTACAAAAAATATATCAATAAAAATTTAGGATTTGATTGAAATTAACAGTGAATTATCGGGTATTTCAAGAATTATGAAAAAGTAGATCGATTTAGTAGTATTTGTAAATTAACGTTTTAGTTATTCTCCATTTGGTAGATGATATTTTATAGCGTGTTTTCAAATAATTTCTTGAACTTTCTGGTTCGGACTTAGTTTGAGAGCGAGCGGTCGTGCTCGTTCGAAATATTTCAACAAAAACAAAAATAAAGGGCTAGAGTTGGCAATGCATGCTAAACCATCCACCAACATTTTTTTGCTATTCTTGAAAACCACACAATTTCTTGTTACTAATAAGGAAAAAGGAAAAAGAAAACAAACAATTTCTTTGTCTTTTCTCCTCTCTTCCCTTTCCAATCTGCTCTTTTTCTTCATCTCTTCTCAATTTCTTCAACATTTTAACCTCAAACCCATGGAGTTTGCATAAAAACAAAATAAGTCTTTCCGTTCGTTTAGTGTTCCGATCAAGAGACTTGGGTTTGTGTTCGTTCTCCCACTTGTGCATTTTCTACGTTATTATCTTTCATTTTGTGAAGAATACTTATAAACGATGGATCAATTTTTTCATAGTAAGACGTCCTGTATTTGAATCTCTTGATTATCACTATTGAATTAAATTGATATTCAAACCCATTTCATATTTGTTTTAGTTTTATGGTACATTGTGTTGGAACCATGTCGGTTGTGTGGCTAATAATTTAGGTTTGAGAATTAGTTTTATAGAAGCGGGAGGGGAAAAAAATATAATTTTGAATTTGGTGATTTGAATAAAAAAAAAACGTGTTGGCCATTAACAATTCTTGTTCGTGGCTCCAACGACTTGGAAGAAACTGATTTCATCTATTTCTTGAATTGAATATGTTTGATAAAATGAAAAACCATGTTGGATTTCATTCTTTGTCGGCATCTGATCGGAGATCGCGATTTGCTGCAGCCATTAATGTGGTCTAAGTCCGATAATAAACCGGACGGATCTGAGGTACATGCGTCTGTAAGTTCGATCAATATTCGGAGTTTTATCGAAATGTATTAGGGCTCGATCATGCATGAGATTGTTGAATTAGATATGTTTTACATGATTATGAAAATTATTGATGATCATCGTCTTGAATTCAGATATTTAGCAACTCGTCAAAAGGGGAAAACGATTGTCACGGAGGAATGAACGTAAACGCACCAAATTTCGTGAAAAATCCTCCGGATTCTCTCAGAAGAATCGATCAAATCGCCAAAAACGGCATAAATTCCGGGAATCAGACGGCGACGATGAACCACGAGTTTCATTCCGGGCAGGCAGGGGGGTCGATTGCGCCGATTCCGAGCGGTGCACCTGCAACAAACATGAAGTACATCAACAATAACAACTCTACTTTCTTTCCGACGAAGAGCGGCTGCGATGGCATGGAGACGCTAGGAATGGTGATTAAACCGCACACAGGCGGGGATGTGCGATGGGACGCTGTGAACATGGTGTCGAAAGGAGGCCAGTTGAATCTGAGCCATTTCAGGCTTCTGAAGCGGCTTGGTTATGGCGATATCGGAAGTGTTTATCTGGTGGAATTGAGAGGAACTGATACGTTTTTCGCCATGAAAGTTATGGACAAAGCTTCATTGGCGAGTCGGAATAAGGTTGTTAGGGCACAGACGGAGAGGGAGATTTTAGGGCTTTTGGATCATCCATTTTTGCCGACTCTGTATTCCTATTTCGAAACTGATAAGTTCTATTGCTTGGTTATGGAGTTTTGTAGCGGCGGAAATCTTCATTCTCTTCGTCAGAAACAACCTAACAAGTATTTCACAGAAGAAGCTGCCAGGTTCATGTTCATGTTCATATCATCATTTCCGATTCTTCGATTCTTAATTTGAAAACTCTTGGATTGCTTAATCACAAGTTCTTGATTCATAATTTCAGATTCTATGCATCAGAAGTTCTATTGGCACTCGAATATCTTCACATGTTAGGAATAGTTTACAGAGATTTGAAACCAGAGAACCTGTTAATCCGAGACGAAGGTCACATCATGCTCTCCGATTTCGACCTCTCTCTCCGCTGCTCCGTCAGCCCTACTCTCGTCAAATCCTCCTCCGTCAATGTCAATGGCAGCTCCACTACAGGACACGCCGGCACGAACGGTGGCGGCAGCGGCAGCGGCAGCGGCGGTATCCTCGACGACGAGTTCGCCGTCCATGGATGTATGCAGCCTTCCAACTTCCTCCCTCGCATCCTCCCTTCCAAGAAGAATCGCAAGTCGAAATCCGACTTCGGCCTCTTCGTCGGCGGAGCATTGCCGGAACTCATGGCGGAGCCGACGAATGTTAGATCGATGTCGTTTGTCGGCACGCACGAGTATTTAGCGCCGGAGATCATCCAAGGCGAAGGCCATGGCAGCGCCGTTGACTGGTGGACATTTGGAATCTTCCTCTACGAGCTTCTTCACGGAACAACGCCGTTTAAAGGATCTGGAAATAGAGCTACTCTGTTTAATGTTGTCGGACAGCCGCTTAGATTCCCGGAGACGCCGCAGGTGAGTCTACAGGCGAGGGATCTGATCAGAGGCCTTCTTGTGAAGGAGCCGCAAAAGAGAATCGCGTACAGAAGAGGCGCTACTGAGATTAAACAGCATCCGTTCTTCGATGGAGTGAACTGGGCGTTGGTGAGAAGCGCTATGCCGCCGCACGTGCCGGAGCCGGTCGACTTCTCACAGTTCGCCCGTAAGAAGAGCGGTGGAGGCAGTGGCGGTGGAGCGGTAGAAGTAGCAGCGACGGCGGCATCACCTGGGGAGAGTCCTTCGCCTTCTACTGGACGCGATCCCAATTATGTGGATTTTGAATACTTCTAGGCAGGAAAAAGGTGAAAATTTATTCATTTATTTTATAATCTTTTTATTCAGATGAATATTATTATTTTAACATAAATAGTCACATATTTTTCTTTTTTAATTTTATTCAGAGATGAAGAGAGGTTTCTCTGTATTTGCTTCCTCTAATCCATTCTTTTGTGTAATTATTCACATCAATTATATATTAAAATACAGAACAAATATTATTTTATGATTGTATATTAAACTCGTCAATTCAACCATCTACGTGTCCAATAACCACACGAGCAACGGGTTAAAATTTTATATCTTAGATTGTTTTTATGAGATCCCACATTGATTAGAGAGGGAACGAAGTATTTATTATAAGGGTGTGTAAACTTCTCTTTGGTATGCGCATTTTAAAAATAGTGAGATTGATGACTATTCATAATGAGTCAAAGCGAACAATATCTGCTGGCAGTGGTTCAAGTCGCCTAGGAAGAACTTGTCAATCTTGACTAGATCCTCAGTCTTTCTCTATCTTGTTAATGGTTAACTTATTCGAGAGTTCATTTTTTAGTGAAGCATCACATCAGTTGAGTTCATTCGTAGGTGGAACTCACTTATATTAGATATCAGTACTGCTTCTATCGATATTATTATGCACCGACCGGTTTGGCACAATTCAAGGCTTGTTTCGACTCTTTACATAGATATATAATTTTTAGAGGATATTCTAAGATTTTTATATAATAATTTTTTTCGACAAAAATAGAACTATAATGGAAAAATATTTCCAAAAATTAAATTTCTTTTCTCAAACAATTTTATTATATATAAAATAAAAAATGTTAAAAATCGTGAAAGCTCGACAAAAAGAAATTTAAAATTCTGAGAGGTGTAAATGTGGCAAAGTTTAATGTTTAAGTTTCGAGTCATGCAAACTTTTAAACATGAATCATATAAATAATTTTTTTAATGTTCAAGTTTTTATACATGCATCTATACACGAACATTACACCTATATTTCTCAAGTCAGGTCGAAAATAGAAATCTATGAAATGTAAGGGTTAATGAGGAACCGAAGAAAATTCTTCATTATCCCTAATTATATTTTAGTTACCAGTTAAATTAATAAAAATATTTTAAACTTTAATATATGGTTAAAAATTACATAAATACCCTCTAGCTTTCAAATTTTTTTTATATACTCCGATTAATTTTAGAATTTTTAAATGTTTCAAAAACACCGTCTTATTTTCAAAAAATAAATATCTTTTAAGTTTTTTTAAAAAAATAAAAAAAAAATTAAAAAAATTATTAGTGTTAGTATATAAATTGGAGGTAGTCCTGTGGTGTTAGTATAAAGTTTTAAGTGTATTTTAGAATAAAGTATAAATTATTTTTAAGGGTATTTTTGACTTTTTATTCTTTTTTTTTTTTTAAACAAAGTAAGAAGTTACGAGTTTTTTTTTTTTTAAAAAAAAAATAATTAATTTAACCTTATATTTATTATAAAATTTGGATACGAAAAGAACAAAGAAACGAGTTGGAGTCGACTGTAAAAGGTCTGAAGTAATTTTGTGTTGAACGAACACAAATAGCCACAGAATCAGAGACTTTGATCAATTCAATTGGAATCCGTTCGAATCCTGCAGTAGTTTGTTGCAGTATATACACGCCAAGCTTCTTCCTTCTCCTGGAGGGTTTTTCTCGCGCGGCTGAAGAGTTCGGAAGAAAAAAGAAATGGTTCCGATGACGGCCCTAGCTTAGGCGGCCATGGGAGACAACAATAACACCAACAGAGGCCTTGTTTCGGCCAACGCCGCCGCTAATTCCAACCGGAACAACAACGGCAGCCACCACAAGAAGCCGGAGTGGCTGCAGCAGTACGATCTAATAGGGAAGATCGGAGAGGGTACCTATGGCCTCGTGTTCCTTGCTAAAATCAAACCCCCTTCGCCGAGTCGCGGTAAGTCCATTGCCATCAAGAAGTTCAAGCAATCCAAGGACGGTGATGGCGTCTCCCCAACTGCCATCCGCGAAATTATGGTTATTTTCCCTTTCTTTCACTTTTTTTATTCGTATGCCTTCAATTTGATTCGATTATTTTTGTTTTAGGCTGAGGAAGGACAAGAACAAGAACAAGAACAAGAGTTCAGAACATATAGTTATTGATTTTATTACATTGCCCGTTGTTAATTTCTTTTCCTACGCCAGAAACTGAACATAATTTGGGATTCATTTTTCCAATAATTCATGACAAAAGAAAAATTAGGGCTTTCTCGAACTTGATTCCCTGTTTCTGCTGGAGCTTTAATCTTGCAAAAAGCATGCCTGGTTAATTAAACTTCTCTATCTTTTATGGTTCAGTTACTGCGGGAAATAACACACGAGAATGTCGTCAAGCTTGTAAATGTTCATATCAATCATACAGATATGTCGCTGTATCTAGCTTTTGATTATGCTGAACATGACCTTTATGTAAGTATCTCTTGCTTCAAATCGTTATGTTAAAGGATTGATTTGATTTGATAAGGGTGGTTAATACTGAAAATTTCACTGCCGTTTTTGAGGAAAGGAGCCTACCGTTTATTTACTAATCAACTCTTCTTGTCATGTGCATATCTGTATAATATGGTGATTTTTCTATATCTTTACAGGAAATCATTAGACATCATCGGGACAAGGCTAACCATCCCCTTAATCAGTACACCGTTAAATCTTTGCTTTGGCAACTTCTCAATGGATTGAACTATCTCCACAGGTAAAGTTGCAGTGTGCCACTGTCTTAAATTTAATTTCTTATCACAAGAAGACTTCTAACATAATTTCGCGTTCTGCTGCAGTAATTGGATAATTCATCGTGATTTAAAGCCATCGAATATTTTGGTAAATTTTATATGAAATCTATATTCTGTTTGCTGAACAACCTCGTTATCTCTCTACTTTAGGTTCTGCGTAAGCTGTTGTCCTCTTATGTGTAGACTTGTCTTTTTGCTTGTTTGTTTGTTCCATTACCAGGTAATGGGTGAAGGAGAAGAACAAGGATTGGTTAAAATAGCTGATTTTGGACTTGCAAGAATATACCAAGCTCCCTTGAAGCCATTATCTGAAAATGGAGTACTGATCTCTTTGTTTATTTCTTTTTTAGTTCAACTAATATTTTGTAGATGACATAATATAACTGGGAATGGGATAATGATAAGTCCAATTTTAAAGAGTTTTAATGCTAAATGCAATGTAAAAAATATTTTACTTGACAACAAAAAGTCTTCATGGTTAACTATTCTAAGTTTTGAGGGAAGAGAGAAAGCAATGACCCTTGCTGGAATTAGAAAATTTTATACCATCTAATATGCTAAGTGGATAGAAAATCTATAAGATCAAGTTTTAGGGCTGGAGTTGAAAGATACGGAGTACCTAATTAAATTAGGCTAAATAGGTGACCAACCTTTAACCTAATGCCTTTTAAGAATACGTACAACATTGAATGATAAAAATTGGAAAAAACTACCATCATTAACATCCTTGATGCCCTGAAATTGAACCTGATTTTCTTCGAGTTTTTGAGGTGTCATTTGTAATTTTCTGGTAGGTTGTCGTCACCATTTGGTATCGTGCACCTGAACTTCTCCTTGGAGCAAAACACTATACTAGTGCTGTTGGTATCCTTGATAAAATCATTTAAACTTTAAAGTGGAGCCATTTTGGGCTGTCATATGATTGATGCATTTTACTTGGAACCTAAATATTTGCTAATACATTGAACTTATGCTTGACTTCATGCCCTAATCTTAATTGGTGCATCAATATGAGAATTCGTTGTTTCAGCTTCAGTTTCAGCTTCAGTTTCAGCTTCAGTTTCAGGACATGAGTTTTTTTTTCCGGTCTTATGTACAAATTATCCTATTTTGTACACGGTAAACTATAGTTCTACTGTTCGTTGGTGTAAGGGCATATTTTACAAAGAAAGGATCAATTCTATTAATGTGAAAATGATGGAGTAGAATTATATCATTTAGGATTCATCTATTCGACGCATGATCTGAGAATGAGTAAAGAAACATGGAAATGAGGGTCATTATAAAAGCTTCCCATCACAGGAAGGTATAAACATGCCCTGTCTAGATGATGTTTTGCATGAGGGTTGGTTTGAACGTGAAATCTTTATTGCTTATCCATTGCAAATATCGATGCCCTATGGGTAGTAGACTAGGATATATTCTTATCCTGAGTAAAAACAATCATTCCTTTATTTAGAACATTAGATATGTGGGCTGTTGGATGTATTTTTGCTGAGCTCTTGACACTGAAGCCATTGTTTCAAGGGCAAGAAGTCAAAGGGAATCCAAATCCTTTCCAGGTATAAAAGTTTTCTTGCATCCCATTCACCCTGTTGTTAGTGTTTTGATTCTCTTTGCACTGGGTCTGCTAATTAATAATGTTTTATCATTGTAATGCTTGTGCTGCATTACAATGAAACCTTTTGTTTGAGCAGCTTGATCAACTCGACAAGATATTTAAGGTTTTAGGTAATGAATTGCTTATTTGTCTCCATTTCTCCTTTATATACAACAAATTGTTTCTTAATGTCATTAATTTACTAGGTCATCCCACGGTAGAGAAGTGGCCAACACTTGCTAATCTTCCACATTGGCAACAAGATTTACAGCATATACAGGGACATAAATAGTAAGTTTTTTATTTTTTATTTTTCATATCAAACCAAAAATAAGCTTCCCTGTGGAAACTCTTACTTAAAACCCTCTTTTATAGCATGTTGTGCACATGTTATGATCATGTTTTCATTGGCCTTTGTTTTTGACAGTGACACTGCTGGATTGTTTAATGTTGTGCACCTTTCTCCAAAAAGTCCTGCGTATGATCTTCTATCCAAAATGCTTGAGTATGTCTACCCTTTTTAGTACTTGATTTTCTACCATAGAGTTTTTATCAATATATCAATACAGTTCAGACTGTGCTTTTGCAGCCTGTAGATTAGTATCGTCCGTTTATATATTTATAGAAAAGAATGATTCGTTATTGTTAATGCTAATGATATATATCTAGTATTTATATACTGTTCTAGAGAAAAAATAAATAAGTTTGTGGATATGAAATATCAACAGATTTAAGATATGGTAAAACGGTAAAGCATATTGATAGAGTTTAGGCTGTTGTTATGAAGACATCATCTCTCTCCATTCTTGTATTTTGTGGAGATTTCATTGTGTTAATTTTTCTTCCCTATTGGTATAGCTGTACAATGTTCTTTTGCAGTGTCGACAGGCTTAATGTTGCATACATATATTCTAGGAGAAAAATGTTGATATTGATGGAAACTTTGGTATTACTAGAAATATTTGGAAACACCATGGAATTCATAGGACAAATGAAAATAGTTGGAATAATTAATGATGCTCTAATATTTAACCAAGTTCACTTGGTCAAATGCCATGATTGCATGTCAAGACCTCACAAATTTATACCACCTATCTTATTGACACTTCTTGAATTGTTGAAGAAACTTTCTTAGTTGATAGGATGTTTGTGAAATGTTCATTTTGAAGTTTCATTTCATTTGGGCTGTTTGTGTGTGCGAAGAAACTTGTCACTAAACTTAGTTTTATATATTTGTGCTCTTTGTTTTTTTAAAATGTTATTTTGAAGTTCTGTTTTCTATTGCAGTTGTTGTCCTTTACGAAACTTGTCATTAGTTTGAGCACAGATTTTCTCATCAAGTCTGTATGCACTCCACTGCATCATTGATGTGACCATGCTAGTATATTCGCTTGTGTGCTATTAATAGTTAACCTTCTGCATCATTCACGTGCCCACATCAGTTTGCTCGGGAGTTGCATCTATTTCATGCCCTCAAGTTAGAGTAACCATAATTCTGTGTCTTCAAAAAGTTACACCTGAACAATTTTAAGTTTGCTTGGAATAACTAGTTTTATCTGTTAATTTAGTACGGCGTGGAAATGTCCATCGGTCTTTTTAGTCTTTTTATGCATGGTAAAATTTTCCTGAGATAGTTCTATTACTTCATTGGAATTTTAAGTTGCTAACTTCCTCTTTGGTCAGGTATGATCCTCGAAAGCGTATAACAGCAGCCCAAGCTCTTGAGCATGAGTATGATTTTTCTCTACACCACTTTCCAATCCTTATTGTGTGCTTTTTTGGTATTATTATTATTATATTGGAATTTCTGATGTGATATTTTAACCCTTCTTTTCAGCTATCACCCGAATGTGTACATGTAATGTGGAATTTTGTTATTATCATTAAATTGTCTTAAATATAATTGCATATTGTTATGTCAATGCATGTGGAATTTTTAGTTTTGCTTATTTTATAGAGAAACAAAGTTTAATTTGAATTAGATGTCAATACTGAAATGTTTACAAACAGAGCATATTATTAATTATATATTAATGTTTTTTACCCTTTTTAAATGGAAACAAATATTTCAAGGATGGTATGGAATTTATAAAAAATAATAATAAAGAGAGGAGAACCTAGCCCAAAGTCAAGGAAGGTCACATAAAGGCCTTCCTATTAGCTAAAATAATGTTGAGATAATAATCTAGTTAGGGGTAACATTTACACCAAGAAGGTGCCTGTTAAGAAGCTGAATTAAGAACTGTGAGACTATATTCTATGAAGGGAGTTCCATGTACTTCAAGAGGGATCTATTAAATGACGAATTCGAACACATCAAAAGATCTAAGGTGTTGTTGGATTATCGGGAAATCTTCCAGAGGAAAGTCTTGTTGAAATGCAACCAAAGGATCCTCTTTCCTCTCATGGACTGGGGACCAGCCAAAGTTGAAGCGAGAAGATCTATGCTGTGTGGGGGAGCAGACTACCAGTATCTATAGGCGAATGGGCTTGTTATGAATAAATTGCATTGTAAATAGGTGAGAGAAACCCAGTTTACTCTTCTTCTGGAAGAAAAGTTTTTGTGGGAAAGGGAGATGAACCAGGGGTATCTTTGGCTTAAAGGTCCAAGTCCCAGCCAACTGTCAAGCTAAAAAGATGCCTAAGCATCTATTTGCCAGAAGAGATTGGTTTGGGGAGGAAAGGAGAGAGAGAGTGATGTTAGGAGAAGCAGTGCAGTAGCCATTTTGTTACTGGAAGGGTGGTTCAGCTGTCTCCGCCATAAAAAATTCTTCTGAAAAAATATTTCCAAATCTATTTTTCTATAAGAGATTGGTTTCACGTAATTGATATGCCATGTTAGTCTTGCATGATTTTTGGCAGTTGGACATGGTGTAATATTGAAGATAGTTTTTTTCCCTTGTTTTTCAGGTATTTTCGATTAGAACCACTGCCAGGATACAAGTATGGTTATGTTTCTGCTTATTTGTTAGATATTGCCCTTTTAAGTTGGAATATTTAGCATTTAGTTTCATCACTTTAACGGGGGTATATGTATCGCAATTTTAGTGCCCTAGTACCAATTCAACCTGGAGAGAAGGTCATTAATTATCCAACTCGCCCTGTGGACACAACCACGGATTTTGAGGGAACAACTAGCCTTCAGCCCCCACAAACGGTAAGCTGTATTCTGTAAAGTTTTTTTCTTCTTCTCTTTTAAGATAAAAAATTATAGTAATCATATATGAATAAGTGGGCATGTGGAATTTTTTGTTAAACAAAATTATGAGTGCTCCCATGCTGCAATTATTCAATTTGTTTACCTATGCATTAACTATTTTCCCATTCCCATGACATCCAATAGGGAATGGCTGTCTATTTTGAAAGATTTCTTTTACGTTTCATTCATCATGATATTTAGATAGCTGCAAATGAGTTTCCATCAAACATGAATTATGAATAATGAGATTCTCGATTGATTTGATCAAATATTGAAAGCCCTTGCTCATTCTTTCTAGATAAAGGACAGATTTTCATCAAGATGTTCTTGCCTCTTGATTTAGGCACTTAGCTTTTAAGACCTAAGAAGCACGGATATGAATACGAAATACGTATACAATACGACATAGACACTGTGACACGTCACTTTAAAAATTTAGGACACATACATAGCAAGGACATCTTTATTAAAATATACCTTCGCAAATTTTTTTTTTTTTTTAATGCAATGAAATACAAATCTGTAAGTTTCTGCATCTATATGCTTAAAAATAGGACTTTGATGTATTTCACCCTCAAAATTTATTATTATGTCAATTGAGTATACTCAACAAGTGTTCGATACATGTTCAACAAATGTTGAACATATATTGACTTTGTAGAACTAGTGTCTAACCCATTTATTGTGCTAATGAGTATCCTATACGTGTCCAATAAGTGTTGGAGCATCCAAACTAAAGTGTCGGTGATTCATTGCTCAAGACCTTTATGAGTTTATAGGCTTTTGATTCAATCAAATAGGCTACCTATCATGTCAGTAAAGAGAGCTTTTTGGTTCCTCAAGGACATTCCAGGTTTAGAGGCAGGTGTGTTAGTTCAGAAAAAAAATTTAAACAGAAAAGAATCAATTATTGAAAACTTTTAACTTCAATGACTAAGAAATGATTGGACCATGGGTACTAGAATACTACAAACAAGCATGGTTGAAAGTCTTTTTTGAGCACGTTGTTTCTCTGCCAATACAGCTTTCCTGGATCCCCAAGGGTTCATCCAGTAACATGTCTTTCATTTCTTGTTTCTTGTTTTCCTTGTTTTAAGAAATGTAAGTATTGAATAAGGTTATCTGTTTTTCGTTTCTCTTTGCAAAGAAACGTTTGCAATATCGTATATAAATTTTGATCTGGTTTCTCGTTTCTCTTTCTTGTTCTCATTTCTAAATTTTCAGAAAAAAAAACATAAATAAGATCAATATTTTATCATTTTATACTCATGTATGCATAATAAATGATTTCAAAATAAACCTATCATCGTGATCTTGATTATTTATTTTAAAAGTTACTTTTCATATGAAGTTTTGGTTTCTTTTAAACAAATAGAATTTCAGAGAACAAGCAACAAAAAAGTGTTTTGTTTTATTGTTTAAGAAAACTGTGAAGAGAAACTTCATATAATTTGTATTTGTTCTAGTACTACCCAGTGGTCCAAGGTAGATGTAAAATGACGTTCTAACTCACATTTTTTCACTAAATAAGCTATGAATTCTATCTTCTATTGCAAACTAGATATCATTGGATGACTTCACAGTTTAACTCTTTAAGTTTCCAGTCTTTAGTAGAGCATGTCAAGCACCTTGCTTTCTTTTCACCATAACATCCAATAAAGCACTTCAAAACTTCGAGGGTAAGTTTTAAAGGGTAAAATACATGATATATCATGGCTATGATGATAACATCATCAATATATGCAATTAGCAATGTAATACCACTTTCTGCCATCAGTAGAAAGCCGAGTGATTTGACTGTTTTCTTTACCCCAAATACTAGACTTAAATGTCTAGCGAACAAGATTTCTCTATTTGCGAGGTATTGAGAATTCCACCTTATCCACTATTTTAATAAACATGCCTTAGTACTAGGTGCCTCTAGAGGCGTGGTGCATCACTAATAAAATGACAAAGCGAGTTGCTTAAAATCCTGTACAGATATCTGAAAGACTCTCATTTCTCTCATTGTCAAACTTCGGTCTTATCTTCAATTGTCAACAGGCGTCTGGAAATGCTGTAAACATGCAAGGTGCTCATGCTGTGGCAGGCAGATCTGTCCCTCGGCCGATGATAGGAGTTGGCATGCCAAGGATGCCGCCTCAGGGCATGGGTCCTTATAACCTTGCATCTCAGGCTGGGATGGGCATGAATCCTGGTGGCATCCCTATGCAGCGTGGTGTTTCTGCCCAAGCTCATCAGCAACAACAGGTTGGTTATTTATGCCAATTCTATTAGTTCTTAAAATTGTTTTGTACATCTGTAGATGAATGTCACTAACCATAATGGCCTTCGTTTTCTCCCTTAATATTTCAAAATAGTTAAGGAGAAAAGATCCAGGAATGGGAATGCCTGGCTATCCTCCACAGCAGAAACAACAAAGACGCTACTGAGGTAATAGATCTCAACGACTCTGTTAGTTGCATACAAGCTTTAATGGCCTTCGTTTGCCACGGTAGTATGTTTAGTTGCATACAAGCTTTGAGTATCTTTATGATCCGTACCTCAATTTGCCACGATAGTATGTAGGTTGTGAATGGTTGATTTTCTTGTTTACTGGAAATATGGTGGAAATGACACGTTATGTTCAACTGTTAACCATGTGCAAAACAGTCCAAACATTACTGAGAAGCTTCAATATTTCCATGTTGGAGGAGGTACTCTAGACGTCTTGACACAGACTATATTGTACTGATGGCTGGGCTCTATTTTTTATCCATGAAGTTCCTGTTTTCATGTTAAGGGGAAAAAAAAAGTTTAGGTTCTATTCTTTAGGGTGTCTCCCTCTTGAAATACCTGTGTTATTCTAGTTGGTTATTTTCTCAATCCTTGTGTTTCTAGAATTAAACAAGATTTGAGTTTCCTCCTAATGGCAAAATCCAAATTAGCTTGAATGCCTCTTCTGTCAATATCTACGAAGGTTCTCAAATGAGGATCTCTATCATGAGAGGGGATGTCAGTAAGTATAGAATTATAGAGAAGATTTAAACAAAGAAAATTTAGTTAGCTTAAAAGAAAAATGAGGAAAGTCTCAGTTTCCTCGTTAAAGCAAGCACAAAAAAATAGGCAACATGGATAAGGTGCAAAAGTCTCGTGTATTTGACCCTTTTTTTTTTTTTTTTTTTTTTTGGGTATCTGGAACAATTTGATATCTATTTTCTGGTTAGACGGCAAGCAAGTAAATTGTAATAGTCCAAGCTCACCGTTAGTAGATATTGTCCGCTTTGGCCTGTTACGTATCGCCGTTAGTCTTACGGTTTTAAAACACATCTGCTAGGGAGAGAGGTTTGCACACCTTTGTAAGGAATGCTTCGTTTCCCCTTTCAATTGACGTGAGATCTCGCAATCTAACCTCTTTAGGGCTAGCGTCCTCGTTGGCACTCCGTCCGGTGTCTGACTCAGATATTATTTGTAACAGCCCAAGCCCAACACTAATAGATATTGTCCGCTTTGTCTTGTGAGATCTCACATAAATCCTGGTCTAAGTCTTTTCGTGTTCAATTTTGTCAAGATCTATAAGTTCTTTTGAATTTATTCACCTTTTACTCAAATGTTCATCATGAATTTCAATTAAACTTCCGCAACAAACCCATTAACGAAATACTACACGGTCATCAGACTTGGGTTATTCTTGAACTACGCTAAATTTTGTTCTTGCAGTGGTATCAGGAAGATCTGAAATTACTTGTGCGCTTCGCCAAAATTTGTCCACGCCATCTTACAAAGCCAAGGTGTTGCGTGTTGATTTATTTGCTAGCTGAGGTTCATCAACTCGTCTGAATAAGTTAACGACCAAGCATGTTTCTTGACACAGTATCGATTGATGTTAATACATCTCTCAACTTGCTTGCCTGCTCGGTTGCTGCACAGATCAAATGGGAGAAGGCAAGAATTGCTCCCGGGCATCAGTTTTCTTGATATTAAGCTCCTTCATCTTGATATAAGGTAACTTGGCCTACAAAGAAAGTAGTCCTCTTGTATGATAATACTCCAAGTTAAGTAGGGTTGTGTTTACTCGGGTAACACGAAACGGTTGCGTGTACTTTATCTATAAGGTTAGAGAAGTTGGAAAGGGAAAAAGAAGATAGGATTATTGAACCCCCATCCCCAAAGAGTAGATCAGGCTCTACTTCCGTAGCCATATTTGGATCTTTTGTGAAGTTTGCGTAGCTACTGTAATGTATTATGGTTATTTATGACTTGAACGACTAATTCTTTTTCATCTTTTCATTCTAATTTCAGAATACAGGGGGATTTATAAGATATTGCCTTGTTTAAAGATAAGCATAACATTTTTTTTTTTTTTTTTTTTTTTAAATATGTTTTTCATAATTTTTTGGTCGAGCTTTTATCAAGCTTTAGAACCCAACGCTTGCTAATCCAAGCCTAATCTACCTGCCCGAGTCAAAGCCCTAGCCCACCTAAGGTTGTTTGATTTGAGTTTTACCCATTTTTCATGGTCTATTTGTTAGTCATTCATATTTTGTTAGTGTTTTAATTCTTCGGAACCTTCCTATCTTCAAATGAAACAAATAGATTCTCTAAATGTTTTTCTGAATATTCTTTAATGTCTCGACTATTCACGGAACGTGAGAAGCAAATGAGTAATCAATCCACCATCACAAGTTAGCTTTAAGTTGAGAGGTGTTAATGTTGAACTTACCTTCAAGGTAGTGTCCATGATGATGAACGAATATAAAGAACTCCAATCCAACAAACTACTTACAATGAGCGACGATACAAAAAAGAATATCAAAATAGAGAGCATAATGATCACAATGCTCCCTCTTTCTAACCAAATTACAAATAACTCTGATCATCACCTACTAGAATCCACATTTTTTTGCCTCGTAACACATCAAATATACACTCTCAGTCACAACTCGTAGACTTCTCTACTTCCTCGACGGTTGTATCGTTGTTAAAAGTGATCCCCCGCGTAACCATTGATCCGAAGCTCCTCGTCCTTCACTCGCTTCCTCAATGCATATAAAATAAACACAGCATCTCCAAAGACGAGCACACGAATGCCTGCCCAAAGGGAAGTGTTGGAAATAAATAAAGCACCCACAAATGGGACTGAAAATAGCATATACCCACAAGATCTTTGCTCTTAGTGTGACTGCTAAGAACTTGCTCAATGAAGTCTAAAACAGGACTTTACATACATTGCCAATTGGGTAGCCTTTATGTAATCCCTTGGCTCTTTGGGGATATTTCATCTCCCATCTTTTGTATAAGGCCTTTGTAATCGAACACAATTCTAGTTTCTTATACATATAAAGAGAGTCTAGAACAGGCTACAACTTAAACTTACTGCAGCAGAGATCATACTTCTGGAAAAATCTCACATAATCTACAAGTATGAGAATAGTGAATGGATAGATGGCTGGACTTGGAAAGCCATAGAAACACTATTCATTTATCCAAATGTGTAACGCCCCAAGCCCACCCCGTTAGCAGATATTGTCCTCTTTGGGCTTTCCCTTTCAGGCTTCCCCTCAAGGCTTTTAAAACGTGTCTGCTAGGGAGAGGTTTTCACTCCCTTATAAATAATGCTTCGTTCTCCTCCCCAACCAATGTACGATCTCACAATCCACCCCTCCCCCTTCGGGGCCCAACATCCTTGCTGGTACACCCCCTCGTGTCCACCCCCATTTGCAGTTCAACCTCCTTGATGACACATCGCCTGATGTCTAGCTCTGATATCATTTGTAACGCCCCAAGCCCACTGCTAGCAGATATTGTCCTCTTTGGACTTTCCCTCAAGGTTTTTAAAACGCGTTGGCTAGGGAGAGGTTTCCACACCCTTATAAAGAATGTTTCGTTCTCCTCCCCAACTGATGTGGAAATCTCACAATCTACCCCCCTTAGGAGCCCAACGTCCTTGCTAGTTCACTGCCTCGTGTCCACCCCCATCAGGGGTCAACATCCTCGCTGGCACATTGCCCGGTGTCTGGCTCTGATACCATTTAAAACAGCTCAAGCCCACCTCTAGCAAATATTATCCTCTTTGGGCTTTCCCTTTCGAGCTTTCTCTCAAGATTTTTAAAACGCGTCTATTAGGGAGAGGTTTCACACCCAATGTTTCGTTCTCTTCCCCAACCGATATAGGATCTCACAAAATGAGACAACAAATACACCACTAACAAATTCACACTAAAGTGAACTGCAGACTTCTGTGCTAACTATAGTCAGTAAACACCATTTGTATACATTAAAGAACAAAATGATCAAAATTTTGGAACTACTTCAGAAGATCTCAGAATGGCACATAAATGTCACAACAATCTCTGCAGCAAACTATAAATAAAAGAATAACTCCATACCTCAAATTACAGCCAGGCAAAGAAATTTTCAATGGTTGATCCCTGTGCTTGGCAGCTAGGACATATGAGGTATATATCTGACATCCAATCTACACATGAGGTTGTAACTGGCTGTAAAATTCGGTAAAGTCGAGGCGGAAAAGAAGAAACTTCAAATCAACATGCTGTTGCAAAGGCAGCTGAGAAATGAACCCCTCGAGCAATGACGAATACTGTTTGGCTAATGCAGCTAGATCTTGCTCAACATTCCGAAGAAATTCCCCAGCACGTCGTGTTAGAGCATTCTTGCCATCAGCTATCCACGATGATGTGTCGAAAGATTTTCCTGTTGAACGATTTTTCTTACTCTTGTCTCTGGAGGGTAAAGATGATTCTATTGTTCTACATAAGAACAAGAGACATTAAATCCAAGAAGAAAGGAATAGAACATAGAACAACATTAAAATAAACAAATAAAAATGTAGTATTACCTGCATTGTAATTCATGTATTCCCTCGTATAATCTGTCGGCGTGACTTTGAAATCGTAATATTAGATCAAATAAGCCAAAAAGCGACTTGCAAAGTGTCTGAGATTGTTCTCCAAGAAGAGACTTTTCAAATATTGAATGAAGATACTTTTCATGAGCTGCAAGTAAATCATCAAGATCCATTGCTGCTTCCATTTCATTTGAAAAATCAGACCATGATACTTCCAGGACTTCAAACATTGTGTAGTATTGCAAGTTCGTAACAAAATGATTCATCTCGACCCAAAGGACCTGGCATCGCCTTAATGTCGAGAGTAATTGCTTCTTAACCCCGTGGTGCAGCTTAGTCAATGAACACGACATGATGCCGTTCGGCTTCATTGTCTTCCAAGTACCCATAAGGGCATGCTCGACCCGTCTAAGCTTCCACAGGAAATTAAAGATCCTTAAATATTTTGACATGACCAACTCTGTAAATACAGTATCTAATGGAACTCTTGCCTCATATTCCAATGAAAATACATCCCAACCCCGATCTCCGGTTCCATGAGGCATCATCTTAACCTTTAATCTATCCAAGATGTCGGGATCATCATACTGGGCATTAGAAGAGCGAATCGCGGTTTCGAGGAGACCGGATAACTTAAACGAGCTAATGGCATTGGCATGCTCAGAAAGTTCAGGCCCAACAATATCCATCAGATATTGGACAAAATCACCTTGTCCTAATAGCAAATAGCGCTTAATTGCTAGACAATGGTCTTTGAACTTATACCGCTTGTGTATCACATCCAACAAGTGTTTGTCTATTCTTTTTGCTGCTCCATCTACCAAAGATTCAAGAGCATCGGTTTCGCCATATCCAAGACCTCCCCTTTTGGTCGAGGTCCCAGCGGCTACTGCTGCTTTGGTTGCAGCATCAGCCCATCCCATATCCTCACAACAAACACGAAGGAAATTAATCGATTTTCCAGTCCTCAAGATACGTCGGGCTAGAGATTGCGAAATGAAAGATGGAAGCATGCTCGTACGAAGCCTATAACCTTCCCTCCAGAGAGATTCGGCCTTCACTTGCTGCCCAACAACGAAAAACTCAGCAAAAATGTCTTCTAGCTCCCCTTCCAAAACCCAACTCCTCACCATCTCAAAAAGTGGAGAGCATACACGCCGTAGCAAACGACACATAAATTCAAGCACCAACGGGTCACCATGCTGAGCATGTAAATGGATAGCCCCAGCCATCGCCCCACCCTTCAAGACTCGACACTTATCGACCAATACAGCCATCAACCTCATTTTCACCATTGGCTCAGAAAGCCAAACTGTCAATCTCCTTAGTGAGAGATAGTTTCCTGAACTTGCTGTCTCCGAAATCATGGGTATCGGATTCATCGACTGAGCTTCGAGAACTGCCAACAGTTTATAGTATTCCGAAAGCTCATCCTGCAATGTAGCACAAAAAGCATGTCCAACAGTTCCAACATCTTCAGCTGGAAAACGTTCCATACTTTCCGAGATATAACCTTTAACCTTCCTAAACAGCCACCCGATTTCACCGAGCTTGCGAACCATCGTCCTAGTTGCCCTGGGAGCCTTAACTAAATTGGACAAAACATACCCATCAGCATTGTTGTCAAATTTCACATACTTCCCATCAATTCCTTGACAAGCATACAATACATCCCTCACCAAAGCCTCTTCAGTCACTTCATTTTCCTCCTTTTGCAAATTAGCAAACTCCTTGAAAGCAATATCGCGAAGATTCCCAGGGTCTTTTGAAACCAACAAAACCCCCTTCTGCCACTCCCTCTCACACGGCTGTAAACCCCCAGAATTCTTTCCTAACACAGGATCACTCGCTACTAAATTAGGCAAAAGCATTGAAGATTCAAACTGGGTCCGTTTACATTTCCGATCCTCCGCCACAATTTTAATCAAATAAAGCACAGCCCATTTGTTATTTACACTCCCAGGGCCGGTTTTCGATGCAAATTTAGTATAAAGATCAGCAAAAGTGAGGGCCTGAGAAGACTTACCCTCGGTGGCGAGCCTGCGCTTGATGGACTCAGCAATGGCGGCAGCATCAGGAGCAATGGAGGGAGTCATTCGACTAGTGAGAATGCGAATTGCATAGCGAAGGGATTTGTCGAAATGGGAGGAGGTAGAGATGGAATCGGAGGTGGGATTGTGAGAAAGAAGACGAAGAACAAGCTCTTTGATGAGATCAAGAACCTTGCTGGGGTCACCTTCTTCCATTTTAGAGGGAGAAATGAAGAAGGTACGAGAGAGAAAGAGAGAATGGGAGCAAGGGAGGGGAAAGGCATGAGTGTAATGGATTTCAGCTGTGGGGTTGATTTCAAACAAAATACAACTGTTTGGTATTGGCTGCCTTCAAAACCAATGTTCAAAGATTTCATCATGTGATCATCGTATGAATGAATCCAGATGCATTTTGTGGCAATTTTTTTTTTTTTATATGTTTTTCCTTCTTAGTGATACTCACCTAATGAATTCCGCGTACATGAAATAGATGTATTCCGCGTACATGAAATAGATGTACTCATAGCCAAGTGCAAGAAAGTGATAAGAAAGTGATAATCATGTATGGGAATGATGCTCACCTAATATGTTCCATATACATAAAATTGATGTTCTCGTAACCATGTGTAAGAAAGTGATACTTACTCATTTACATATGATATGTAAATGATGCTCACTTGGTGGGTTCTGTATACATGAAATTGATGGACTCGTAACCATGTATATGAAGGTGATGCATGTCTCGAGTAAGAAAGGATCTGAGATCCAAAGTTAGGTTTTATGTCCCAGTACAGCCATGATAGTTTTTGCCTGTGTATGTATTTTCCGACCTCGACAATGAAGTCGCAAGGTTGATTAAAAGGAAAGCAACCCACATAAGGGGTTAAAATTTACCAAAACATCATGCCATGAACAAGCCATAAGAAACCCATCAATTATACCAAAAAAAGAGACATGGAGAAACTTCCTTTAAATACATAAAACATGAGGCAGCAAAATGCTTTTCTAATTCATTTGGGAAGAGATTACACTATTTATATTAGCTTGGAAGTTTCACCAAAAGCTTCTTCAGCACTTGGAGCAAACCCCTGCTCTGCTGGCCTAACAAGCTTGTTTTGACTGTACAACAATACATTTACCTCAACACCGGGGCATTGTCCTCGTCCTCGTCCTCGTTCTCATTCTTCCTTCCATATTCGGCCTGTGATTCTCAGCTTCAGCTCTTGCCTTTCCCCCCCTGAAAAATACAGTGCCAGGTTTCTTTGAATGATGAGACCATCTTGACTGTCACGAACTTTCCGGTGACTGTCGCGGATGCCCCTTGGAATTCCTTGCCATATCAGTTTTCGCCCGTTGCCACCGACTTCCAAACTGTAGCTGAACTTCTTCGCTTCGTTATCGTCACCCATGAATCGTAAGAACGCCATGTAAACAGGTGCCATTCCTAGCTGGAATGCCTCAAAATGCAAGCAGAACTGCCTTCCAAAGCAGTTGAAAACCTGCCAATGCAAGGTATTATAAAACATTCAATGTTCAGAAATGGAAGAAAACTGGGTTTATCAGATCTTTATCTAAAAGTTACATATGAAAATTCGAGGTAGAACATTGGTACAAATGTAGCCGTTTATCATAGTTCAGATTGTGCATCTTATCAAAAAGAAATATATATATAGTCAATAGATTTACCACTTGACTCTACTACATATAGTTAATGCTATATGAAGTTGTCACGGCAAGAGAGTACATTAAAATGCTATATAGAGCAAGCACCTACCGTTAGCATCCATGTGGCGTTTTCGACTTCATGTGGATTTGATTTAACATAGCGATGATTGAAGGTACACCCATCATGCATGTCAACCTTGTGATCATCTTTGAGATGAGCAACAAGAGACTGGATGTCGCCCGTGACTGAGCACTCTGATCCAGCATAAGGGCAGTTGTAAGGACGGAATCGACAGTGTTGTTCGTGCTTAAGCTTACTGTAGTAAGGAAAAATGTCTTGACAACCCAAGTTCTGGTATCTGCAAGGGATTTCCAGCGACTCAGCTACCTTCTCCAATGCCAAGCACCTTATATTTCCGAGTTCGTGACGACAGGTTGGGCAAGAGTTGCTAACTCTGATCTTGCAGTTTGAGCACAATGTGTGGCCATTCGGGCACTAAAGTTCAAAAGCCAGTCAAGCAAGTCCGAAACAAAGCAGAAGCAGAAAGTATACACATCTCCATGTCATAGAGATTCAAGAATAAAGAGATCTTCCAAGTCTTCAATGCAACTTTAATATTAAGAAATGAACTTAAGAACCAGCAATAGGGAGAATTTTCCACAGTAGAGTCCAAACCAACCCTCTAATGAATCTATTAGGCTATACAAATTCGTAATCTATGCCTTTAAAACAGCAGAAATCCACTTACACAAGTAATAATTCTTCAATTCATATGAAAATTCAAGTAAAGATTGAGTTAGAGCAAATCAAGAAAAAGTAATTGAAGAACAAAAAGACTAAAAAAGTCAAGATCCCTCCAATAACTTCTTTTCTTTTTTTTTTTTTTTTTTTTTTTTTTTTTTTTTTTTTTTTTTTTTTTTTTTTTTTTTTTTTTTTTTTTTTTTTTTTGGTTTTCTGTTTTTAAAAAATTCTCACTTGGTAGATTCTTTCTTTGGTTTGCACAGACTACGAAAACATTTTTAAAATACAAGGCAAATTTCGAAAACTAAAAACAAGGTTTCTTATTTTTAAGAAACACCCCAATATTGTATGCAAATTCAAAATTGAAAAGGAAAAAAAATCCGATTTCTTGGATCTTCAGTTGTTCAAAAACATATATTTTTTTCCATTATTTTACTTATAAAGTTCCTGATAAATATAAAAATAACCTAATAATTTTGAATGATTTATTTTTAAAGAAGAAAATTTGGTTTAAAGAAAATAATAAATATGAGGGAACAAGAAATGAAAAAAAAATCTTTCTAAACATGTTTTTCATTTGTTTTCTTTCATAAAAAGAAAGTTAAAGCAATCATATCAAACATGGAAGGTGAAACACATCAATTCCGATATGCATGGACCTCACGTTACTGTGGAAAACATTCTAAAAAACTCTGCAAAAGAATGAAATTATCAACTGAAGATTCTTAACAAATTCTGCCAACTACATTCAACCTTAAAACACACATTTTTGAAGGAGAAACGAATTTTCCTTAAAGAAATTAACAGCAGCTTTCATCAATTGGATCCAATCATTTAACTGACTCTAAAACACATTGCGCATAGTATGGAAGATGCTTTACAGATGAATGTAATTTTAAAAAAGCATTTCTCCATTGGCAAATTTTATGCAACTCACAACAGTATTGCTTAAGCTTACAAGGTCATAAAAAAAGTACGGTTAGGAAAAATACTTCTTCACAAGCAATAAAAGTACTTGAGATCAAATTACTTTGATGCTTGTTTCTGAACTCCTAAAAAGGCTTCCTAAACAAGAACTGAAGCCAAAAACACCCAACAAGTGCAGCATTCTCACACAACCTTTTAAGGTTCATTTTGAATTTTTTTCCAAAAGCATTTATGTTGCTCCCAAACACAATTATTTTGAGTGAAAAGTGCTTTTACCCATGGAATAAGTAATTTTTGTCGTGCCAAAAACACTTCCGAGCATAGAATAAATTACACAAGAAAAAGTAAAAGAGAAAAAACAGGGTAAAAAGACCATACCTGGTAAATTGGAGGGTACATCAGATTTGTGCAGACAGGGCACTCTAGCAATTCTTGCACACCATTGGTTGAATAAACTCCAAGTTTCCCACCCAAACCAAGTGAGGCTTTTGATGTTGTAGGATTATTCTCTGATTTAGATATTGCTATGTCATGACCAGAAACTGAAAGGTGAGAATCTACTTTTTTGCAGGTACTGCTTCCAGGAGCCATGGCTTATTTAAATTTTAATAGAATTCTTTGAGCTATTAACAAAAACTCCTAACTATATGCCAACCATCACCCATCCACAAGTTCAATCCTGTTAAACCACACAAAAAAAATGGTATATCAGTAAAGATATTAAGTAGAACGCTTCATGTTGTCTGGAGACTTGCTTACGTAATTTGGGCGAATGCCAAGCGATAATGAAAACTAAATATGATCAACAAGGCTTAATAATGTATAGGACTTAGCAACAACTTCATTTTTTTGAAATCCAAACTGATAAATGATGCCGTATATGTCATGGGTTAGGATACTGACATAATTATTCCAAGCTATAAGTTCACAAATGCTACAAATTACACAAATTCAGAGTTTGAAACCAATCTTTTATAGTACATATGAAAATTTATAAAATTATAAATATACAAAGCAAACTCTAATTGTAAAAACATCAAGTTTATACAGCGCACTATTTTGTGCAATCCAAGCTCCAACTTCCAACCCCAAACTTAACCAGTCCAAGCTTATCGAAACTATGAATTTAACATCTTAGCTTAACTTTCGATTGTGCCAAAACACATCCCGGCTTTTATTGGCAAAAAAACTGCTTCAAAACACAGAGAAATCAACTTCATAATATTATTATTAATCATCTCTGGGGACTATGTTATTCTATAAACTTTCCTGACCCGCAAACAAATGTAGATAACATTTTCTATTCAATCTTTCTACCCTCCAAACTGCCACCATCACCTGAATCATTATTTTTCTGGATAATGAAAGAACCAGAGGCAAAGTCGAGGACAAAGGAAGATCCAATCTTAAATTCAAATAATTATACAAAAATTATTATTTAAAAAAGCCCTCTAATTTTCTCCATCTTTAATTTTAAAATTGAAAGTGTGTACATTAAAAATAAAAGAAAAAGAGTTAAATGTAAAATTTGACCCCTCATGATTTTCTCCCCAAGAAAAAATAAACAAGAAAAAACGATACAATACCCATTAAAATCAAAGTTTGGCAAGTATAAAGGCGTCCAATCGTGGACACAAAAAGAAACATCCTAAAGTGATTTAACATTATCATTTCGTTTTGGGATGAAAAATAGAAAGGAAAAGTAATAAAGCATGAATGGGAAAATGTATGATGGCATACCTTCTATAGAAAAGGGAAAGTAAAATAACATAAACATACAATAAATTGCAGTTCACATCAAATGCTCGGAAAATTAGAGTGATAAATCACCTAATGAAATCATTGGCTCATTTGAATCCATCCAGAACAACATAGTAAAACAAACAAACATCAATTTAGAGAATCATACGCCAATCAGATCAAATTTCTCTCAAATTCCGAAGTGATGTGATTAAAACTAACTTACCAACCGAGAAGTCCTCAAAAGAGTCTTCAAATCGAAAAGAAATTAGGCCAGGCAGCGCAAATCCAAGTACCTGTCCCTCCCCTTTAACAAATTACAAATTG